GAGTGGTTCCTCCCTCTTCGACCTCTACACCCCATACGGGCTCCCAATCTAGTCATCTCGCTGTGCCGGGCATCCAAGCTGGTTCACCACGCGAGCCTAGCCCCTCACCACCGCCTCCGAGCCTTCAAGCTGTGTCATTGTCTGATCTATTCAAGAGCATTCAAAGTCCTCCCGCTCCTCCTCTGCCCGTCCCTAGCGACAGTATCACTAGCCCTCAACCGCTGGATCAGAAGAACAAGCTTCTCGGGATGCTTAACACAATTGGCCAACCGCCTTCAGGCGTGACATCGCCCATCGGTGGCAGTGCAGTCCATACTCCCATTGGTGGACCCGAGAAGGTGGACCCATTGGCTATCTTCAGAGCAGGGTGAGTCTACATACATGTCTCTCAGTGGCGCGGATGGAGGGTGTACGCTGACGAGAGGATCGCAATAGCCACCCCAACCATCCTCCCGCTTCCCCTACCGGTCAAGGACCCGTGATCGGCCACCTGACTGGACACGTCACATCCCCTCCTCAACCACCCGCCAAGCTCCCTTCTATCCCTTCAATCCAAGCACAGAATACCGGCACTTCCAACACTTCTTCGCAGGGAAAGAGATCTGACCAGCCTAAACTGCCTGCTATCGCTTCACCCGCTGTCGAAACCACTCCCAAAAAGAGCATGTTCGACTTTGTCTCACCATTCGACGCTTTTGATCAACCGACCAGGTCTCGTCAGCCTTCTTCGACCCATCCGGCTAGCCAGAGACCGCAGCCTACACAACCACCTAAAGCGACCGAGCATAAGATTGATGAAGGGGGGCAGTCGCTAGCGAGGATCAAGAGCATCGAAAAGCTGGGAGGGAATGGGATACAGAGTGGCAGAGGCTCGCCCCAGCAGCCTTCCACTTCCACTGGGGTCGACAGTGCCAAGCCTGCTTCTCCGGAAACATTCAACGCTACCAATTCGGTCGAGGTGCATGAGCTGTCTCAGGTGGATATCAACGACCAGGTTGGGAAAACTTGGAAGGTGCAGAATATCGTCAAGGACAGCGAAGGAAACGGGTACGTTTGCCAAGTCAGTGATGGAAGTCCTTGAGCTGATCGGCTTCTTTACGCAGTCCAAAATCCCTCACATCTCATACGACCATTGATATTTCAAAGCCGAACCTTGACTCGCTTGTCGCGACTGCCGATGCTGTTCAGCTCACGCCTACCACATACATGCGACCTGACACCTTGATATATAAGAAGGGTCGACGAGTAGCAATCAGCAACGACTTCATTGCATATACAATGTCGAAGGGTACGTCGTCTAACCGCTGGTCTACTTGTCCCCCCTTTCCTGTCTGACTAACGCGTAATTTTAGGTCGAGTCCGTCTAATTGACAGCCGTTCTGGTGCTCGACTCGTCCTCCAACTGCCCGTGACTGCCTCTCATGGTCCAGTCGCCGATCTCGCTGTGAGCGGCAATCTAGTCGCTACCATCGGACATGATAAGTCTGTCATCGTTACTCGTGTATCCGACGGCTGGGCAAAGGACGATCCGAAGACTAGGTTCATTCTCATTTGCGCCACCGCCAATGCACCTACAGGTGTCGCTACCAAAGTTGAGTGGGTGAAGAGGGAAGGGAAACCTTGGTTGGCGATAGGGGGTCCTCAGGGAGTGCTCATCATCGACCCTTCTGCATACGAAAACGTGGCTTCCGATACCGAGCCGATCTACGCTCTCGAGAACATCGCCAAGGATCGGAAGGTTCTGAAGACGGAGGGCGTGAGTGACTTAAATGACCGTGGTTTTTCCCCTCGATTGGGGCTAATGTGACCTGCCATTATCTAGACTGTCGTCGATTTCTGTCTGAACCATTCCCATCAAGCGATGGCTGTTCTCTCCTCAGCCGGTCATGTTACCCTGTACAATGTGGCCAACCTCAATCGGGTTTGGCACCGATCCCTTCCCACCGCCTCCCCCACTACGGAACCGAGCTCCATTCAATTCTGCGAGTCAAATCTCTTGGTGGGGAAAGCCAATAATACTCATTTCGATCTCGTACAAATCACCGTCGATATCGCTGTCCTGTCCACCATCAAATTTATTTCTGTCGCTCCTGCACCAAAGAATCTGCATTACTGTCAAGCTGTTTACGATTCAGCCAAGAGTATACTCTTCGTCGCTCCCTTTTCGAGAGGCAGCGTTTACGCATTCAGGTATGCTCTCAAAGGTCAACAGCCCATCAAAGACGTCTCAAAGCCCGATGGACCGAAAGTTGTTGCCTTTGACAGAGTCGCTGAGTATCCTCTCGAGCCTGTGCTCAGTATGGTGTCAGCGACGAAGGGTGCGGACGAAGACGCGGAACTATTCTTCGCTACTCCGAACGGTTTCAGCCAAGCGACTATCCCCAAAGCAACTTGCGACTCTCTCATCTCTGTTACTGCTAGCGAGAGCAACACTGTACCTCCACCTGTCATTGCCGCCAAGCCAACATTCTCGTCTCCCAAGTCGCCCAAAGTGGGAGGGAAGGTCGATCTGCCCGAGCCCTCGAAAAAGGTCAAGACCGGAAGCGTGTCCAAGGCCGCCAGCAAAAACGCTTCTCCCGCCATTGTGAAGACCGAGCTCCCATCCGCTTCAGACGACGAAGCTGTCGCTCATTCGCGTATCAGGAGCCAGCAGGGTAGAAAAGCAAGCGTTACTGTTCCAACCGAGACTCAACAGGAGAGTGGATCTATCACCGAGGACGAGCTTAACAAAGCTCTCAAGAAGGTAAGCCGTTCTCCACATCCGGGGCATGAATACGACTGATCAAGTGCATATAGACCGAGGACCGTCTGTCCAATCATCTCAAGCAGCTACTTAAGAATGAGATCACCACTCTCAACGTCCGACTCGATGGTCTCGTCGGCCCTGATTTTGCGGCAGACGTCTCAGCTCGAGTGGAAAGGCAAATCAAGGGTTCTTTGTCGAATACCATCGCTCAGGAGATCAAGAAATCGTAAGTCGTCATGATAACTCTTGAGAGACATGCGTTGACATTGGATGTCCTTCAGCGTCATCCCTGTTGCCGCAACCACGATACAGAACGAAGTGCGAACCGTAACAAGTAATCAAGTACCTGCGGCCATCTTCGATGCTTTACAGACCGTCCCCAAAGAGCTTGAGAGAGCATTTGCACCTGTTGTGCAGAGGACAATCTCGACTCTCGTGCAGAATGCAGTAAGTCTTGAAAGATTGATGATACCGAATATGTGCGATAGCTGACAGCGGAACGACAGATGGACAAGGCAGTTCATGAGGCTGTCCAGCATACTCTGCTTCCTGCCATGACCCAGGCCAGCTCTACCGTCTGTGATCAACTGATGACAGAGATTCGTTCGGAAATGCTTCAGTGAGTTGTTGCATAGCTAAGTACCAAATTGAACCCCACAACTGACTATTTATATCATTCCAGGATCCGCAAAGAGCTTTCACCGCCCAACAAAGAAGGTCAACTCGCCAACGATCACTTGCTCAAGAACATGGCCACGTCGATCTCCGAGCTTCAGAAACAGCTCGCCTCCCTTTCCGAGCAGATCCGTTCCGCTCCAGCGCAACAAACCCCTCAGCCCAACGGCTCGGCTCCTCCATCCCTCCCGCCTCCGAAAGCTTATAGCTCTCATACGCATGCCCCGCCACCACCGCCTCCTCAAGGTCCGTCGCCATCTCAGCTCGAGGACACTTTCCTCACTGCTTTGGGAGCTCAGACCACCGCGTCCACGCTACAGCTTGTTGGCGAGCACATCGGATTGACCGAATATTGTTTACCGACCCACGGCAAGAGTCCACTGAGTCAAGCTGTTCTGCTCACTCTTCTACATCGAGTGAGTCAAAGCATCGCTCGTTGCCGTCCATCGGCCCTGCCGTACTTATGCCTGAGAGGATCAGTACTGACCAAAAGTTGTGGCGCTATTTGCTTAGCTCGCTATTGCTCTCACGGAGCTCACTCCCGGCCATCCTGCTTTCGCTCAGGTAGCTGGATGGGAGCGCAGGACTGTAGCTCTGCTGGACCCCAAGGTAAGTCCGCTGATCCGTCGGCTTGTACAACTTCTCTGCTTCGATACTCTACTAATCAACGCTTGTATGTTTATGCAGGACGCAAACATCACTGGCTACATCTCTCGAGTGCTCTCCGTTGTGCAAGGGCTGTTGGGTCAGGTTCTTTCTAACCTCCAGCGATACCCTGCCGATCCCGCCACTCAAAGCCATGTGCTTGCTATCCGAGGTATTCTGGACATCGTCGCCCACAAGATGGTATGAACAAAACGATTAATTTGGTCGCGCTGCTGTGATTGACTCGATTAAGTCGCTGTAGCTGTGTCTCATGATACGGTGATCGTCACAGACATACCGAAGAGCGAACAGATAGACGAGCAACGATGGATGCAAGGTCTACAGAGTTGCTACATTAGTTAAGGGTTCGAAGAAGTGCAAGTGCGCTTATCACACAAATACACCCATTTTCAATCTACCTTTCCTCGGTCCCTACTGTTGAGCGTGATCTACATAATTCCTAGCATTGCTTATAGCGCAAGTTATTCAGATATCCTTCTGTTCCATTCCACCCAAGAATAATCATGCACAGATCAGCTATACACCTGGCCTTTGGAATATCATTTATTATTGCAGCGCGTCGTGGCACTGCGATGGCCACTACCCACAATATACAGGTATGGCTAGGTCAAGGAAGGGAAGCCTTCAGAAGCTCATCTGCGCAAGTAGGCAGTGACGAAGAATGTCCACGGCTAGCCCACGGAATGGGGATGAGTCGATAGAACGAGGGATTGTCAAGACAACAGGGGAAGGCAGCCTCGACCAACGGGAATGCAGGAGGGACGTACATGATGCTTGCGCTAAGCCTATCCATGCGTGACAAGGGCTATCTATAGACAATTTAATAGATGGTCAAACCTGTGTCTCAAATAGCAAAGGGTCCCGATGGGCATTGTCAGGGATGATATTAGTTCGAGAATGATGGCTAACATGTGCCTTCTTAGTTCAGTGGTTTAGAATTTGTCACTAGTAGTCTCGGATCTTGCGATTCGGTTGCTATGACAGGGTCACCTGTTCGATTCAGGTAGAAGGCATATCTTTTTGGCTGCTTGGGTGATGCGTATTGGGCAAACAGAATACTGAATCGATGCATGCATGTGTTTCGGTTGCAGCTGATTGATCTATGTCGCTCATTCATGCTTGTATGGATATAACGTGCATCGTATGTCTGCGTGAACGATGTCTGACTCCTTTGGTAACAGACAGCGATAACAGAGTCGAAGTATGTCTACAGATTATCCAAGAATTAACCCAAGAAGACGTCGCGTTCTAAGCTCATCTGTCATATATGAACGCTTGTCTTGACCCAGCTTCTCTCCCGCCTTGCCATCTCTTCTAAATCTCCTGGACGTACTCCAGGCCATATACACGTGATAGGTCGGATGTCGTAGAGGACCAGATTCAACCAACCAGTGTACGAGTGGATAGGTTCTTTCAGACTGTCTCATCATACACCCTCGACACCTTGGTATTCGCTCTCAACGCCGGGCTCCATCAAGACCGCGTGACCGAGAATGAGGATCGCCGAGGATCCGACAAGCCAGAAGAAGGTTGATACGGGGGATGCGAACCATAAGAGGGGGATGCCTGTGCGTAGTTCGAATAGTCAGCAAAGCGTGTTTGCGAGAGTAAGGTCTGAGATAGGATGTGACAGGCGGCCGCGCCGTTCGTGTTTGTTGTAGGCGGGAAGCGGAATATCGAAAAATTATGTTTGTAAAAGGGCACCGTTCGGATACTCACCAATGACGAAAAGAGCGGTATAGAGCGACTTCTGGGTCACGACTTGACTGCCGACTTGTACGGGCTCGGGAGCTGTGATTATGACACACCCGGGTGAGCTATGCTGTCCCGTCCCGAACATCCATCTCATATTCAACCAACAGGAATGCTATGCCATGACATCTGACGACAAGCTACGCCTCTTGCGCGGAATCAGTTGCACTCACCAAACTTGTTTATAGCGGCAAAACCACCAGCCAAGAATCCCAAAGCGATCAGGAGAAGGGGATTCGTCAATCTGCATGAAAAGCGAATATTGCGAGTGTTGACAAGACGAGAGAAACATTCAGATTTAGACGCTTATTTTGAGCAGCTGGAGACAAGCAGACAGCGGAGAGACGAGACGCGTAGACGATACTCACAGAGCATATACGGCCAATACTCCGATCACGAGCAGGTAGTTCCCAGAGAAATGTCGAGTGTTATACGTTATCCTCTATTATACGATCAATAATGCGAAGCAAGATGACACAAAAAAACATGATCAGCACTAGGCTCTATTAGCAATCCATAGGGATAGGATCCCCAGTCACCGGTCAGAGCAGCCCTGTAGGTCAGGGAGAACGGGTTGCGGCGAGCCTGAGATAGTGAGCGGTATGGCATCTTGAGATTTAGCTGACTCACCGTGGTAGCTTCGTTCATGTCAGCCGGTCGAGAGAGCTGACGGTGGTCGAACTGGATTCGAGCCGAGGTCAAGTCAGAACAGTATCCTCCAAAAATCAGACATGATAAGTTGTGCCCGTTCAAAGTGCCGCAGGTCATGCCTCATTCCTTCATTTTTATTCTGTTCCCGGACCATATCATAAACAAAGATGCACGGGAACCTTGGGGTATTCCTCGAATATGATTCACTCACGAATTCTTGAGGAGTCTTGAGGGTCGACAGCCTTGTCTCCTACGGAAGCCCGCATAGATACGATCAGCTACGGCTGCCTGAAACCACCACACGTCCCAACATATGCAGAGATACAGCCAGCCAGCGAACAACGTCGGAGCCTGCGCTGCTCTGCACTGCCTGCTCGCTCAATCATGCTCCTTCACTCACCCTAAAGTTCCGAGCGAGGTCGCCCACTCTTGACAGCTGCTCCATGTTGGTCGTGTTTGCTTTCTTGTGATTGCTGGTGTGTGTTTGAAAGATGCAGATTTGAAGCGATGATAGCGACGATACCGAGCTCAGCTGCGATGAGAAAGTGAAAATGAGTAGAAAGGTATGCGAATTCGAAGACATGTCCGCAGCAGTAACAGTTGACGGCGGCAGTGACGGTAAGAATGACAGTGACAGTGAAGGAGTGACAGGCAACAGACACAGCAGTCACGTTGCGTAGTCGTAGTCGCACCTTTTCACCCGAATAGGTAACAGGCAACTTGGATTCACTTCAACGCGTTGAACGACAGTCAACGTTCCATCCTCTCAACATTCAATGTTCAATGTTTACTTACAACGTCATTGATAACGACTATTGCGGCTCCATACCATCACAAGTAGCTATACACTTCGCCCACACATAGCCAGAATCACGATTACTTGAACACGATGATCCGCTCTAACCCAACCGCTATACCCCTCCGAGCCAACGACGTCAAGCTTCTCCAAGCTGAGATCGATAAACGCAAAGCCGCGAGGGAGGCTGCATCTGCCTCCGCTTCTGCGGCTGCCGCCTCATCGACGTCTGGCAACGGAACCGATTCTTCTTCTTCCGTCGATCCTGCTCGAAAGGGCCTGAGTACTCAGACTCACGGAGGGGTGGATAAGCATGGGAGGAGTGTGGCGGAAAGAATTGGGTTATAGGAGGAGCGAAGCGCGGAGACTCGGGTTAGGAGGAGGTGGATCCGAAGGTCAAGCGTCGGGAAATAGAACGATGACACGTTGTCGATAGTTGTTACCGTGGAGATCAAATGAAGTGTGAGTGGGGAGGTCAATCTGGACTTGCTTTCCATTTCCCCTCGACCAGTGCCTCTAGGTCGAGACGAGACGAGACAACAACGGTAGGCTGATTGGCGCGAATAGCGGCTCTAGGCCGATGCGTGTAGCATCAGAGACCATCTCACCAAGGACCCAGGTCATTTTCGACCCAATACGTTGATTCATCACCGACGTGCGTGTTGGAACGAATCATCAACACAAAGTCACAGCATAAACAGCATGTACGTGTCAACTACAAGAACCCGAGTCACCGTGGAGAGCGCGGCGCACAACCGATTCCGCTTTCGAGGTAGCCGTGCCTACGCACACACTCCCAAAGCACCACTGAGTTCAAAAGCATACCGACACGAATCGTTCCTGACGACAAGCCACGAGAATCTCTTGGATACGACACGTCAATATCCCCTTCGTAATCTGTCAATTTCTCGCCTCTGATTCTCAATGAGCGCCTTGTCACCTATCATCTCCTCTCGTAAAACTCGAACAGCGTGATTGAGATCGCGCTGCGCAAAACAATCGAGAAGATTTGCCGGGACGAAGGAGAATGATTGAAAGAATAGGATGGGACCGATGAAACCAAAAGGAAATCAGCGCGATTTAGAGATTCACAATCGTTGGCTTAGGAGTAGCAGAGGAAGAGAAAGGGATCATTTGACTAAAACCGTCACGCACCTTGTGTTCTCGCTTCATTCTGAGCATATCGAGCCGCAAATTCGCCATCTCTCTCCACATCTCCTCAATCCGTTCCCTGTCGGTCATTGCGCCATCCGTGTCAGATGATCCTCGGACTCTGCTTTGTTTGGGTTCCAGTACCCAATCCAGCTGGACAGAACGTTCCATCCGATCGTCGTCCCCGACTTCATCCGATCGACGCGAGGGACTATGCTCCTGAGTCTCAACTCGAGACTCCATCTGTGGTCGAGATCGAGATGGATTTGAATCTTCATCGGCTTCTTCTATGGTTGTTATAGGCGTCGTGGATCTGGACGCAAGAGACGTAGGAGGAGGAGCGATATGTACCGTATGTTTTGAGCCGCCAGCGATCGGAGCAGGTGCAAGCCCAGCGTGCACGATAGCTGGTGCGATAGGACCAGACACGGATCTTGAGCTGGACATTCGAGGTTGAGCTGCTCGTTTCCCTTGTCCGCTTCCGATGTGAGGACTAGCTTGTTTTGCATTAGTCACGAAGGAAGGCGTAGGCGCAGACACTATGCGCTTCTCTGCTTCCGTCCCCTCGTTCCGAGCGAGACTTCCTGCTCGAGACTGGAGAATCGTTTTCGGAAGTTCCGTCGCGGGAGGACGAGCAGAAGCTTTCCCCTTATCCACATGTCCACCTTTGGAGTCCATGCTGAGCCTAGGTACCGCCGGCGGAGTAGGAATATTGGCCACATTGCGATTCTCGCCCAATGCGCTTCGTCGCGAAGCAGTCGAGGATGGCGCGGCAGTCGATTGTCGCGCCGAGCGAGACTGGGATGATTAAGCCAATCAAAGTATCTGTCAGTATCTTCAGCAGGGGGGTTCAGAACGCTTGGTAGCACTCACTGATAGGGTGAGACGCTGCACTGATAGAATCGGCTCGGGGCATGTCATCTCCTTCGGACGATTGTAGGCCGTTCCAAGGTCTTTGACTAGCAGCGAACCTGCGAGTTCCAATCTTCCATCAGCGTCCCTCCTTGACCGAGTCTGAACCACTGAAGCAAGCCGATATGTATGAGATGACGACTTACTTTTCTCTGTACGAGCTGCCAATGTCGTTTCGTCCAAGAAGACAAGTCCAGTCAATTCTGACTGAGCGAATGAAATCGGTTTGAGGGTGCTACTCGTCAAAGAAATGACGTGATCAGCTTCTCTGCACGCGCCTGAGGTGAGGTCATGGAAGCTGATACGACGCCCCACGTACCCTTCTGGGTCAGCAAAGTCTATCAGAGCGACTTCTCCATTATTGTTCAGCACAGCACACAGTCCACCTTGGTTGTCACTCTGAGTCTCCGGGACAGGTGACAAAACGATATCGATGATTCTTCCATGTGTTTCGGATGAGAATGGGCGAATGGCCCGGACCTCAATCGGTAATGTCGAGTCTGATGGTACCTTGAGGAGCAAGATTACTGATAGGATCGAGCTGCTAACAAGCAGGATTCTAGGTGAAGAAGGAGAGAAGACAAGGATCGAGATAGGCTGTGCGATCGTTGCAAGAATGTACCGCATATGCAGATCAGCGATGTTCCTATTCCTCGGCGTCACAATGCGGAGTAAGCTCACGCCTTGGGTCCGATCTGATAGAGGTACTATTATTCTCGAGCTTTGCTCTCGGTCGAAGAGTACCAGCTC